GCTTGCGCATGCGCACTAGCAGTCCTTTGGCAAAATGGTGGCGACGCGGAGCGCATGCGCTGAGCCTACATAAACCCAGCTACACCAGTCATAGCTGTGTTGATTTTCCTCTGAAGACGTGCTTAGCACGAAAGGCCGAAGGAAATCAACACGCTGTAACATCAGCCCGCCTGGAGCCACATGCTGGTCCAGCGGACATCTTAACTAATGGTCAGTGCACCCTGTTTTATTGTCATCTGTCAACTATTTTTTGGTTTTAAATAAATTTACATATTTGGCAATACTACACTATGGGCACTTTTCTTATGGCTTCTTTATGGAGCCTTTTAAGCCTGCAGAACCTAGGAAGATTACCAGTATCCAGAGGAGGGGAATTCCTGTAATCAGATGGCTGACCCTATTGATTCTTAAGGAGACCTCTGGAGCAGACATCATCCATTCACTGCAGAGCTGCCCATTATCAGATGGATGTGCCATACACATACATCACTAGTCTGAAGTTTATGAGACAGATACATTAATGCACATAATCTATGCGCTTCTGGTAAGCGCACAATCCTATCATTCTTTCAGAGCACCGAGATAGAGAGATTGATATTGGCACACTTCTGGATTTATTATACTTTTGTAGACTGATTCTTAGCAAGTTCATTGTGATTTTACCTTTACTTATCTTAGCGCTGCACTTTATTATTTATTATAACATAGAAGTTTCTTTCAACAAATTGGCGGGCATCAGATCCATATTCCTTTTCTCCAGCCTGAGCTGTAGCTTCTTGTGAATGGGACACTCTCGATTAGGGTTTTCAATCTTCCTACTCTGTTTATTTGCAGCCACAACTGTGGTGGGAGTGGGGAGGATGTCAGTCTTTTTCATGGATATTGGGCCTCTACGGTTCCTATAGTTGGCCTAAAGACTGGTACTCTTAGGAAAGGATAAAAAGAGACTGTACTCACCGTAGGAAAAACTTGGGTCATTCTTGGTCTCTGAAATGTTCCTGATGAATTTGCAGAAGAAAGAGAATGGAGGGAAGGAAACATTGTTCTGATTTTTGTATGCTGACCCTAGTATGGACCATTTTTCTTGCAAACCATACGGGAGCTTGGAGACAATTGGGTTTACCCCTCTGGCAGTGTCCAGGTAACTGAGTCCAGGTAGTTTTGGGTCTGTCTTGGCTAGCTGAAGATCAAGAAGAAGGTCACTCAGTCTCTGGAACTCCTTGTTGTCCTTACCAGATATATTTGGGAAAGTTTCCAGATGCATGAACAGAGCATTTTCTATAGCTTCTGGACTGCCATAACTTTGCTCTAATCAATCCCATGCAGCTGTGATGCCTGTAGTAGGAATGTCCATGAAAACTGATCTTAATGGCTTAACACATGCAGCAGATAGAGGACCAAGCCATCTGATCAGCAGATCCAATTCTTTAGCAGCTGTAATACCAAGATGATTGATTGCAGTTCTGAAAGCACATTTCCATTTCCAGATTCTGTAGTTTTCAGGTTGGTCATCAAAACCTGTAAGACCAGTTTTGTGAGCTCTCTGTGAAGTATGTACCTCACGAACTCTGATGTCTCAGTTCTCTCTGGCTTTATGCAAGATGTTGTTGGCTGGAAGGTGCTGATAGCACTATCTTTTACATTGCTGTTATAAGACACAGGGAAATATGGTGCAGCAGATGCATTCAGGCGAGTTTCTTGCTTGAAGTCAGTTCGCTCCAATGGTACATTTATTTAAGGCTGTACTGATGACAGGAGTTTGATGACTTGCTTGCAGCTTGCTCTAAAGCTCTGTGACGTAAGAAGAAAGGTTAGGTAGATAGGCAGGGAAGGAGAGATTTTGCATGCAGAAAGTTGCTGGGACCTCTTTAACTTGATGCTGAAACTAATTCTCTACTGTATATTGTCAGCAGCATTGGAGACGATAGAGTGTACACTGCAGCGGCTTATAACATAGTCTGTAGTGCTTTTGAAGGGATCTTCCATATCTGCTATGTTTAGGTTATTGCTGTCTTTCTCACTTGCACCTCCATCTGCACTGACAGCTTGTTCTAGGACCCTTAGTTCTGCCATAGCTGTATCATGTTTACACTGTTCGTTTAATATTTCTATTGCTGCTCTTTGTCGTGTTGACTGAGTTTCCAACTCTGCTCTTTGGTGTGCTGACTGAGTTTCCAACTCTGCCCTTTGGCTTGCCGACTGAATTTTCAACTCTGCTGTCAGAGTTACTAACTCCGCTCTCTTTTTTGCATTTGTGGCCCGCACCTTGCTGGCTTCCACTTCAGAGCTGGCACTAATAAGTCGCTCACTGAGTGTAGAGCGTCTTGAACTATTGGATTTAGAGGAATTTTTAGAATGTCTTGTAGAAACGGATATGTGAGATGCAGTGTCTTGCAGCAGTTTTAGCTTTGCTTCTGCCTTTAGTTTGGTTTGCTGGATAAAACTGTCTCTTTCTAGATTAAGAACCTGGAAGCTGTTTAATTCCTCTAACAAATCTTCCGTGTTCATACTTTGTAAAACATTATTGAACTTGTTGCTGGTAAACTGATAAAGCTCATATGAGGCAGAAAGTTGTTGGATGGTGCCCTCTAGTGGCCGTACCTCATGTTCAGCAGACAGTGAGTAAAAACTTTTTAGCAACAGATTGAGTAACAACAGATTGAGTAACAACTTTTTCCCATAATAACTTCGTGCTAGTTGTTGGTTCACTTCTCAAAGTTTCATCATTTTCCATAATTTTCTAAGTTGGTTTAACTGAGCGTTTGGGTAACCGCAGCTGGATCAGATTCTTGGTCTGCTGTGTGTGACATCTCTTCACAGATGGAGCACTTGTAACTCGTGTTGACACGGGCAGAAAATGACTGGAGATAAGCAAGCGAGAAAGTTTTGCCTGGGCTTAGTTATGGAGGCCTACACATGCTCCTGACATCCTCTTGCTTTGCAATGAGAGCAATAAATCTTGTCTATATCAGTATTGTCACCCAGGAATCTTGTAATTAGGCTGTAACTCCATTATTCTACTGTTCTGACTCAACTACAGGACCATAAACTTTATCTTCAGCGATGTACACAGCTATACGACGTGGTGTTGAATCTACCTCTTGTGTCGGGTTAGACAGTTTAACTCAATGAATAAACTCACATGTTGAGGAAGTGAGATGAAGAAAATCATTTGAATGTTCCATTTAATAGAGGATAATCATAGGTAGAAAAACGTTAATGTTGTAAGCCTCATGGAAAGATGCATACAGTTAGACAGGATACAGTGGAATTACTGCAGAGAGAGGCAGGGGGAGGGATATACACAAGTAAGGTGAGAGAGAGCTCAGCTTAGACAGGAGACAGCTTAAAGATACAGAGCAAAAATAAACAAGTGATGGTCACAGAGAAATAATAATAAATCAAATAGTGTAACACAACAACCCTTGATGTCAGAGGTAAGTTTACACAGTGATGGATTATAATAGTGGCAGATTGTGTGGTCACCAAGCACCCAAGCATCCCCTGTCTGCCTGACTATCACTGTGTACCTGGTGGATACATGCCGAGGCATTGGGATGCAATGCCTTTCCAGACTTATGCAGATTCACCTCCCACTCCACGTTGCAACCAAGTATGCACAGACTGCTGGATCACTCAGACCTTAGACTCTGCAACATACCTTTAATTGGAATCTGTCAGGGCTCCGGGGTGTGACCAAAGGTATATGACTGACGCAGGGAAACGCAGACTTCAGATATGTTATAAATATAATTTATTAACACTAACAATACAAACATAAATGCAGTGCAATACTAAAACATAACACAGTGCAAACAAACCAAACCAACCACCCACAGATGACAGTACATACAATACAAGCGTCGTCAGGCAGGCCGGGTCAATATCAATCGGGCAGGTAGGTAAAGGGGGAGCAAGCGGAGAATGGTCGGTGTCACAAGCCAGGTTCAGCAGGTAGCGGGCAGCGTGGTACAGAGGGTCAGGCAGAGGAGAATGGTCAGACAAGCCAGGGATCAGGAGCAGGAGAATGGTCAGACAAAGCCAGGGATCAGAGCAGGGTCAGCAACGAATCAGACAGGAACAGGGAGCAGGAACAGGATACAGGGCCCAGGAGAAACACACACCAAGGCAGAGTCTGCAGGTCTGGCCATCCCTTAAATACACCAGTATAATCAGTTCCAGGTGTTTGACTGGCTGCAAGGTTGAGTCTCTGATTGCTGGGAGCACCCGCTGGCCAGCCCTGGTACTGCAGCTCATAAGGCAGGTGAGTCCCACCATTGCTGGCCAGTCCATTCCTGACAGTACCCCCCCCTCAAGGAGCGGCCTCAGGACGCTCCAAACAGTCCTAGCTGGGCAAAATGTTCCACCGCCCGGGTCTGGTAACTGGCGGGATATCAAAGACTGGCACACCGGGCAGGACTCCGGGCAGCGGCACACCGGGCAGGACTCCGGGCAGCGCACACCGGGCAGAGGCACATCGGGCTGGACTCCCGGGCAGAGGCACATCGGGCTGGACTCCGGGCAGAGGCACATCGGGCTGGACTCCGGGCAGAGGCACATCGGGCTGGACTCCGGGCAGAGGCACATCGGGCTGGACTCCGGGCAGAGGCACATCGGGCTGGACTCCGGGCAGAGGCACATCGGATTACCAGGTGAAGCATCAGGCACATCGGGCCACCAGGCCGGAGCAGCAGGCACATCGGGCCACCAGGCGGAGCAGCAGGCACCGGGCCACCAGGCGGGGCACAGGCACGGGCCCCCGGGCGGGCGACAGGCATCGGGCCCCCAGGGGGGCGACAGGCATCGGGCCCCCAGGAGGGGCGACAGGCATCGGGCCCCCAGGCGGAGCGGGGCGCGGACAGGCGGAGCATCGGGCCCCCAGGCGGAGCGGCGGGCGCCAGGCCCCCAGGCGGAGCGACAGGTCTCGGGCCCCCAGGCGGAGCGACAGGTCTCGGGCCCCCAGGCGGAGCGACAGGTCTCGGGCCCCCAGGCGGAGCGACAGGTCTCGGGCCCCCCAGGCGGAGCGACAGGTCTCGGGCCCCCAGGCGGAGCGACAGGTCTCGGGCCCCCAGGCGGAGCGACAGGTCTCGGGCCCCCAGGCGGAGCGACAGGTCTCGGGCCCCCAGGCGGAGCGGCGGGCGCCGGGCCCCCAGGCGGAGCGACAGGTCTCGGGCCCCCAGGCGGAGCGACGGTCTCGGGCCCCCAGGCGGAGCGACAGGTCCCCCCCAGGCGGAGCGACAGGTCTCAGGCCCCCAGGCGGAGCGACAGGTCTCAGGCCCCCAGGCGGAGCGACAGGTCTCAGGGCCCCCAGGCGGAGCGACAGGTCTCAGGCCCCCAGGCGGAGCGACAGGTCTCAGGCCCCCAGGCGGAGCGACAGGTCTCAGGCCCCCAGGCGGAGCGACAGGTCTCAGGCCCCAGGCGGAGCGACAGGTCTCAGGCCCCCAGGCGGAGCGACAGGTCTCAGGCCCCCAGGCGGAGCGGCGGGCGCCGGACCCCCAGGCGGAGCGACAGGTCTCGGGCCCCCAGGCGGAGCGGCGGGCACCGAGTCACCAGGCACGACAGTGGGCTCCGAGTCAACTGGCATGACCGCTGGCACTGGGACAGACATTGGATCTTCTGGCTGGACAGCGGGCATCGGGTCACCAGGCATCAGGTCATTTGGCTCGACAGCGGGCACCACGTCATCTGGCAAGGCAGTGGGCTCCGAATCAACTGGTATGACCGCGGGCACTGGGTCAGACATTGGATCGTCTGGCTGTACAGCGGGCATCGGGTCACCAGGCATCAGGTCATTTGGCTCAACAGCGGGCACCGCGTCATCCAGCAAGACAGTGGGCACCAAGTCACCAGGCATGACAGTGGGCTCTGAGTCAATTGGCACGACAGCGGCACACCGGGTCATCAGGTACCGGATTGTCTGGCTCGACAGCGGGCATCGGGTCATCAGGTATGACAGCGGGCACTGGGTCACCAGGCATCAGGTCATTTGGCTTGCATCAAGGCAGTGGGCTCCGAGTCAACTGGTATGGCGGGCTTGGGTCCAGGATCGTCTGGCACCGGGCATCGGGTCACCAGCATCAGGTCATTTGGCTCAACAGCGGGCACCGCGTCATCCAGCAAGACAGTGGGCACCAAGTCACCAGGCATGACAGTGGGCTCTGGTCAATTGGCACGACAGCGGGCACCGGTCATCAGGTACCGGATTGTCTGGCTCGACAGCGGGCATCGGGTCATCAGTATATGACAGCGGGCACTGGGTCACCAGGCATCAGGTCATTTGGCTTGCCAGCGGGCACCGCGTCATTGGCAAGGCAGTGGGCTCCGAGTCAACTGGTATGACCGCGGGCATTGGGTCAGACATTGGATCGTCTGGCTGGACAGCGGGCATCGGGTCACCAGGCATCAGGTCATTTGGCTCAACAGCGGGCACCACTCATCTGGCAAGACAGTGGGCACCAAGTCACCAGGCACGACAGTGGGCTCTGAGTCAATTGGCACGACAGCGGGCACCGGGTCATCAGGTACCAGGATTGTCTGGCTCGACTGCGGGCATCGGGTCACCAGGTATGACAGCGGGCACTGGGTCACCAGGCATCATCAGGTCATTTGGCTTGCCAGCGGGCACCGCGTCATCTGGCAAGGCAGTGGGCACCGGGTCACCAGGCATTGGATCGTCTGGCTCGACAGCGGGCATCGGGTCACCAGGTATGACAGCGGGCACTGGGTCACCAGGCATCCAGTCATTTGGCTCGCCAGCGGGCACCACGTCATCTGGCAAGGCAGTGGGCACCGAGTCACCAGGTACGACAGCGGGCTCTGAGTCAATTGGCACGACAGCGGGCATCGAGCATCAGGCTGGATATCTGGATCACAGGGGTAGAGGCATCATCGAGGTAGACAGGCATCAGGCTGGGTAGAGGCATCAGGCTGGGTAGAGGCATCAGGCTGGGTAGAGGCATCAGGCTGGTAGAGGCATCAGGAAGACAGGCTCAGGCTGAAGACAGGCATCAGGCTGAAGAACAGGCATCAGGCTGAAGACAGGCATCAGGCTGAAGACAGGCCTCAGGCTGAAGACAGGCCTCAGTGAAGACAGGCATCAGGCTGAAGACAGGCCTCAGGCTGGGTACAGGCCTCAGGCTGGGTACAGGCCTCAGGCACAGGCCTCAGGCTGGGTACAGGCCTCAGGCTGAAGTGCGGGTGCCGAGGCACCAGGCTGAACCACAGAAGGCAGGTTCTCAGACGGCAGGCTCACACCGGTTTGGATACTGGCAGGATGGTACTGGTTGGAAAGAATTTTCGCTTTTTTTCTGGTTTTAACTACTGGAGCACTGCAAGTAAACGCAGGTCTGCAAACGAATGGAGCAGCTGGAGACAGAGAAGAGCTGGAGGATGGGACAGAGGAGGGAGCAGTTGCTACAGAGGGCTTTTTTACAGGGTTAAAGGCAGGATAGGTGCAGCGAGTGGGAACAGGGTACTGACATGCGGTAGATAGCAGGGCAGGAGGAGCTGTTGGGAATGCAGGAATAGAGCTTTGAGGAAATAGATTAGAAGCAGGACTGGGTTTTTGTAGGCTGACTGAGGCTGGGTGCAACAAATCTGTCCATGTCTGCAGTATGGGTTGAACAAAGCTGAGCTTACACAAAGCCTGTCTGACCAAAGACTGCACTGCGTTTATACAATCTCTTAGTACCTGTGGTGAACATGCAGCATAATGCTCCAAGAAGCAATCCACATCATCCTCTAATAACCATACCAGGGACTCTACCTGGTCGGCACTAAATGGCGGCAAAAATTCATCCCTGCATTCGGGGGTACCAGATGAAACCAACTCCGCACAAATCTGAATCAATGGCTGCACCTCAGAGAATTCTGTGCCCTGATCTACTAGAACATGAGTGAGCCGTATACATTCTAGCAGTTCATCCCAGGGATACTCCTTCAGAGTTTGATAAGCATACTCCCTGTCATCAAACACTAGCAGATATAAATACACAACATCATCAAGATCCATCCTTCCCATCAACAAACCAAGATGGCTTCCCTGTGCAGCCACTTCTGGTCAGGATTGGCCTTGGTGTAATGTCAGGGCTCCGCTGTGTGACCAGAGGTATGTGACTGACGCAGGGAAACGCAGACTTCAGATATGTTATAAATATAATTTATTAACACTAACAATACAAACATAAACGCAGTGCAATACTAAAACATAACACAGTGCAAACAAACCAAACCAACCACCCACAGATGACAGTACATACAATACAAGCGTCATCAGGCAGGCCGGTCAATATCAATCGGGCAGGTAGGTACAGGGGGAGCAAGCGGAGAATGGTCGGTGTCACAAGCCAGGTTCAGCAGGTAGCGGGCAGCGTGGTACAGAGGGTCAGGCAGAGGAGAATGGTCAGACAAGCCAGGGATCAGGAGCAGGAGAATGGTCAGACAAAGCCAGGGATCAGAGCAGGGTCAGCAACGAATCAGACAGGAACAGGAACAGGGAGCAGGAACAGGATACAGGGCCCAGGAGAATCACACACCAAGGCAGAGTCTGCAGGTCTGGCCATCCCTTAAATACACCAGTATAATCAGTTCCAGGTGTTTGACTGGCTGCAAGGTTGAGTCTCTGATTGCTGGGAGCACCCGCTGGCCAGCCCTGGTACTGCAGCTCATAAGGCAGGTGAGTCCCACCATTGCTAGCCAGTCCATTCCTGACAGAATCTCTCCTGAAAGAAGAGTCATTAAAAATACACAATTTGCTGGACACAAGGTAGCATGGCTTTACTGAGGGCAAATCATGTCAGACTAAGCTGATGTAATTTTTTTTACCAAATTATCAATGTTTTGGTTTCAGCAAGGCATTTGAAACCATTCCATATATAAGGAACTAATACAAAAGTTGTACAAGCTAGGGCTTAACCCCCCCCCCTCTTAGATTCTAAGCTCCAAGGAGCAGGGCCATCCTAACCCTCTTGAATTGAACTGTATCGTTGCTGTATTGTCTCCCTTTATATTGTAAAGCTCTGAGCAAACTGTTGGTGCAATATAAATCCTGTATAATAATAATAATAATAACCCTTGGGTGGTTCAGTGGATATGCAGTTGGCTAAATGAGTGTGGTTGTAATTTGGAGAATAGAGACCAGTCACTAGTGGTGTAACACAAGGCTCTGTACAAGATTTAAAGTGTTACTAAACCCAGGACCCTGCGTTTACTATAACTGGTCTCCAGCAATACACGAACATGAAAATGCAATTCTTTTAGTAAATATAAACTGCTAAATGTCTTATCTCATCAGCTGTTAGAGCAGTCTTGTGACTTCTATCAGTGTTCAGCAGAGCACTAGCTAAAACTTGTAGGAGGATTTTCATTCTCAAGGACCTCTGTCTGGATAGTGTTGATTGGCCCTGTGCTGATCACATGCACTCTCTCAAGGAAAAAAAAAAACCTGTCTAGCAATACACATCAAACTGAGCATGTGCAGAATGTCTCTGTGACAGACGCAGGATGACTGTCACTAATATGTGACGATCCCACGATGGCTGCCACCAATATGTGATGGGCGTGGCATCAGACCCCAGCCCTTCTCACCAAACTCGTGACCGAAGGACTAGCCAATCTAAAACCGTGCTGTCACGTGCGTAACAATGCCACACCCAGCTGCACCTTGCACAATGATTTTTCAGCTAATGGACCACAGATCGACGTACCAGCAGCCTGAGCGATTGTTACTGGGTCAGGTTAATTACGCAATTAACCCTTCACACTGCCACCACCTCCTTTTTATACAGAGAAAGAGGAAACTCAGCAATACACTAGGATGATTGATTAATCTACAGTATACCGCTCTCTCTACAGACCGGTTATACAGAGGGTTAAACACTCATAGTAGCGTTCTTTTTAGAGGCAGGAATTCGTAAATTGCAATTAAGAGCTATAGAAACAATTCAACACTTTCAGAAAGTAATATTTATTACTAAAAGGTCAAAAGGGTGCAGTAGAAATATTTACAGAAAGAAGATGTAACTAATATATATATATATATATATATATATATATATATACAGAGCACAACAGCACAGCAAACAGATAACAGAAAGAAGTTTAGGTAAATAAGTACTTGCCAAATAAATGCCTGGAGTTAAGTAGTTTCAAGTCCGATGAGCTAAAAAAGGGATTTCTGGTCTCACATTGGGGTTCGTTGTTGCCGCAAGATTCTCCTTTGCTTTCTGTCCAATAGATGTTATATCGAACGGTCCTCACTTGTCTGACTCCTCACAAGAACTAACTGTGTCTTTTTCCTACACAAAATCTCTTCCCACGATGGACAAGCCAAGCCTTATTTGGCAAGAGGATTGTATAGACAGCCCCTTAGCAAGGTACGCTGAACGCTTTCCTGAGGGAGGGGGGAAATCAGAGGAGACTGATTTGGAAGTTTAAGAGAAATACCAAAATGTAGTTGTTTGGAGCAGAATGGATGACCACGCCCATCTCTGTGTGCATGATTGTGACAGTCTCCACATGACATGTCTGATCAGGAGATAAAATGGTGGGCACTGGAAGAAGGGGAGGATCAGAGAAGTCAGGATTTTACACAATGCAGAGGATTAGCCCCTTAGGTTCCACATTGAGTATATCAAGCATGCTTTACTGCATATACAAACTGATTTTACTGTTGTGGGTTTAGTAACACTTTAATCTATATGTAAGTGATGTAATTAAAGGGGTTTTAGGTAAGGTATGTATTTTTGCTGATGACACAAAGGTGTGCAATACAGTTGATAAATCTGGAGGTGTCTGTAACATGGAACATGATTTGGCATTGCTGGAAGATTGGTCAAAGAAGTGGAAACTGCAGTTCAATGTCTCTAAATGTAAAATAATGCACCTAGGGAAAAGGAATCCCCTGCACTTGGGGGTTTACAGTGTTAGCCAGCATTACAGAAGAAAAAAATTTGGGAGTGCTTATTTCAGATGATTTCAAAATTAGCAAACAATGTGACCAGGTAGTAAGGAAAGTGAATGGAATTCTAGGATGCATCACTAGAGGGGTTGCTAGCAGAAGGAAGGAGGTCCTGATTCCCCTATACTGATCTTTAATGAGACCTCATGTAGAATACTGTGTCTAGTTCCAGACCTCACTTACAAAAAGATATTCATAAGATAGAACAAGCCCAGAGACTGGTAACACAAGTGGTGAAAGATCTGGAGGATAAAACATCATAAAATATCAGGAGAGACTTCAGGAACTTAATATGTACAGTCTGGAAGAAAGAAGGGAAAGGGTAGACACGATTGAAACCTTAAAAAATTAATCAAGGGGGTGAATAAGGTTCAGAAGGGCAGTATTTTCAAAATGAAACCAAAATCAAGAACACGGGGACATGACCTCAAACTAACTGGAGAAAAGTTTAAAATTTATCTTGGAAAGTATTATTTTACTGAATGGGTAGTTGATGCTTGGAATAAACTTCCAGCAGAGGCAGTAAATGGCTTGAGACATGTTTGGGACAAACATAGGTCTATACTCAACCCCCCCCCCCCCCAAATGAATAAATAAATTAATTAATAAAAACAATAAACAAAAACAACAACAACAAAAAAAGTGCAGACTTGAAGGGCCACTCATTCTTTTTTCTGCTGTCATTTTTCTGTGTTTCTAATGTGTGGAAATGCCATGGCAGCACATAAAGTGACATCACTTCCTTTCATATGCTGGCAGGTTAAGGTCTAACTGGATATTAGGTAAAACCTGTTCCTTAACCACCTCTGTCCTTGTGGAAATTTAATTTACAGAGACAAAGATATATATATATATATATATACATATATATATATATATATATATATATATATATGTACAGTTATCTATAAATGCCCCTTCCACCAGGTTCCTTTCCAAGTCATACCCACCTGTCCTTGCTCCTCTGAGGT